TGAGGGCAGGGGCCAGGCTGCCCCCCGAGAGGGGAGGGCTGCGCCAGAGGGAAGACCACCTGCTGGAGGCTGGACAGGGGTGTGCCCGAGTGCCGCCTGGTGCTGTAAGGGGCAGCGTGAATGACCAAATGAGTATTTAGGTTGTAAAGATATAAAGTGCCATTGATATTCACTCAGATGCACAGAGAAATACATGTAAAAAGGTGTTTCACGTTTAACATTATCTGTCGAACACAGAAATGAGAGGAGCCTCTGCTCCCTGAGGGCCCCTGGGGACAAGCCATTGTTTCCTGGGGTTTGGAGCAGGTCCGGGAGAACCGGGCTGCGAGCTTGCCTCTGTGGACATCGGGCTTCTGTCTTAGCTGTCTGGCTGCCAGACCCTCACCTGTACCATGAGGGGTCGGACAAGGTGACTTCTAAACATTCCTTCAAGTTCTCAACTTGAGATTTGGATTCTGTGATTTCTGCCCACCCCAAGGGCACAGACACACAACACTGATTCTACTGCTCGTCCAGGTATGAACAGAGGCCCAGGCAGCAATTGAATCAGAGTAATAAATCAAAGCATCAAATATTCTCCAGAACAGATTGTGCAACAATCATTTCTGAAGGACACTAACTGTACTTGCGAAGACCGTAAAGGGGGCCCACAGGAAAGTCCGGAGGGGACCCCGGGCTTTCCTGTCTCACTGAGCTGAGAGAGCATTTTATGTCAGCAGTGATGGCTGCTTACGAGTTTTGTAGCTTAATCTAGTATCATGATATACTCGACACAAATACCACTTGAAATGGCATCTCAGAAAGATTTCCTCATGGGGGATTCTTAGAAATAAAAAATGCAATGATTTGCTTAATGCTACATGAAAATTCTCAGGGAAAACATTTGTCTGTAGCAGACAGTGTCTCCCAAACGTGATAGAGCATTATCTTAGGCGCACACGATCTTACAGGTCCTCCCCACCGAGAGGGGAGCCCCCCGTCCCATCCCAGGAGGTCCTTGGGGTGTGCATGCTGGGTTTGGCACCTCCAAGGCCGGGTCATAGGCTGGCATGCTACTCTGAGCTGGAGGAAGCTTATCACAGCTGGCATGTGGCATTGCCCCAAATCACACGGCTACACAGCAGGCGCTCTATTATGTCCTATGTAAATGGGAAACCTTAATCCGACGAGGGCTCTTTCCCTTTAGGAGCTGGGGAGCTCCAGGTGACAGGCGCAGTTCACCTACAGCCACTGCTGAATGGCTGACATGTGTGCTCTGCCCTTCATCTCAACTTGGTCCTTTCTTATGTTTTTTTCTTTGAGTATTTTTCTATTTGATTGTTTCCTTGCATGTTTTCTTACTGTAACCAATTCAAGCTTAATATATATATAATAACAACTGTATGTGTAACTGCATATATACTATATATATAAATCAAGCTTACAATATATATACTTGAGTGTTTCTAATGTGAACACGCTTTCCCTAAGCATTCAAAAGATAATTCTATCTCCATAATTTAAGTAATGAGCTAGTGAACATTTTCCTAGTGACTTTTCATAGCATTTTGCCCCTACGTGCAGTGTGCACACGGTTTAGCCACGTACCGTGCTGTGCGCGAGCAGTGGGGCGGGGTCAGCGGGAGGGGTCAGCTAGGGCCAGCGACGTGAAGGAACTCATCCTGTTGCCCCTTCGACCCGAGGGCCCACCTGGGTGCCCGGGGAGGAGCAGGGGTGCCCTCTCGTGGACACTCTCCTTCCTCAGTGGAACAAGGGAGACCCAGGGCTTCCACTTGCCTGCCTTTGTTTAAGCCCTACGACCTGTGAACACTGCGGGGCCCGGGGTGGAGGGGACAATGTCCTGTCTCCGTGTGTGCCTGGTTTTCAAATGACAACGACAGTGTGTGCCAATGTGTGTGTGGGCGGGTGGTTCCATGGAAGCTCAGAAACTGGCCTATGGCAGAATGACCTGCTTCCCCAAAGCTCAGACAGCATGCGGCTCTCTGCACTGCCAGGCCTAAAAATGTTCTCTTCCCGTTTGGGTAACCAGACAGAGCAGCCTGAAGTGTGACTGACCACACGCTGTCAGAAAGAGATGTACCAGGGCACTGTGCTGACTCACTCATCTGGATCCGAGAGAGCCCTTCGGTGGGATTTTCCCCCCTAATGACAATGCAGATAGAGTCCCAGGTGCACTGCGGAGTTGATGCCCGGCGCTCGCCTCACAAAGACACGGAGGATGCCAGCCTGGTTCTAGTTGTGCGCCCGGGGGGCGTGCCACGTGCAAGCCAGCAGCCTGTGGGGCCTGCGCCGTCCTCAGCCCCTGGCCGCACACGTGTCCTGGACTGATCCCGTCCTCACCTGGGACTCCTCTGCTGAGGCCCACACTCTCTCTCCTTCGTTCAGAGGCCGTGGCCCACGTGTCCCTCAGAAGCGTGTCTCGTAAAGGACAAGGGCCTTCCCCAGACCCGCACGCTCCCTGGCCGTCCTGACACATGGACAACATGATCACCAGGAGCTCAGAGATCATCACCAGACAGTGCCGATGACACGCGGCTCACAGAACGCCACGAAGTGTGCGTCCTTATCAGGCCCAGGGTTTTCTGTCCAGTCAATAAAAGACCTTTCCGTAGAGTGGGAGGGGGCTGCTGCCTCGCCTGCAGTGACACCCGGACACACGTCACGTCAGGATTTAAAAAGGGTTCTCAGACCTACTCTGCAAGGTTACAGTCAAGACCGGCAGCCAAGATTATCTTAGCCTCTTTCCCCTCCTATTCTGTACCTTGAGACGGGGCAGCAGTAGGAGTGGGGGTCTACGGCATTCAGAAGCCGACTCCCCACAGCCTGCAGGGCCCTCCAGGTGTTCGTTACTCAGGATGGCTGAGCACAGCGTGGGCGGAACCCAGGAGGCCTCCGGGACCCCCTCACTCACGTCCTCAGGCGGCGAGCATCCCCTCTGCTGTGACTGAGCCTGCGTCCAGTGCCAGCCGCAAGTGCTGTGCCCCAGGCAGTTAGGGAGCCGCTTCCTGGTCACTGGGATGGGCCAAGGGCGTGGCGGGGGAGAGCCACACTCAACCGTGTGCCGGGCCACCTCCTGGCGCGCTAGGACTGGGTTGTCACGGAGAACAAAGCCGGAAGCATCCTGTGTGTGGTGCTGTTCTCCCCGTGCAAAGACAGATCTGAGCGTGTGGTGTGACTGAAAGGTGTGCATTTCCACTGGTTTTCACACTCCATCCCTGGATAATGTCTCCAAACAGTGCCACTATTTGACAGGCTGCAGCAGCTCCTTTGGAAGAGCGTCAGGCATCACTCCCCATGCACAACGGAAGGAAAAGCTGTTAGGGAGCCCCTCTCACGTCAGACCCGGCACATGTTCTGTGTGTCCGTATATGTGTGTGTAGCGTATGTTATCTGACAGTCACACAAGGGCTGACCTGGTGACCCACAATCCTGAAAGCAACTGACCAAGGGAATAACGGTAAAGACAACGTTTGCTTTAAAAATACGTAAGCTTAGCCAAAATAATTCTAAAACTTACTCTTATTCATAGATAAGACCTAAAACTTAACTCTGGTATTCTGTCATTTTCTTTCGTCTGTTTCTATACATACATAGTTAGAATAAAGGAGTAAAAAGATGGTCTAAAGAAACCTTTGTGTTAGAAGTTCACGGATGGATTTATTCCTGAAATCACGGACACAGACATTCCCCCCTAACTTTCCCTCCGTACTCTGAAGAAAACACGCCGCGCACCAGGCCACCAACCTGCCGTCCTGTCCGTCTCTCCTCTGCTCTGCCCCTGAGGAACGGAAGCCCCTGCTGAGGGCAGCGGTCGACACTCAGGCATGCCCCCCAGCAAATCCCCGGGAAAACCAGTATGAAGCATGTGGAAGCTGGGGGACTCCTGAGCGCCCGGTTTCCATCAGACTGATCCCCAGGGCCTCCTGTCTTGGGCCCTTACGTCAGTCATGCTGATTTTCATGGGAAGTTTACGACACTGAAAACGTGGGCAGCAGTACTTTTAGTTCTGTGTGCTGCTCAAGGAGGCTGGAATGAGAGAGACAGAAGGGACTTTGAAAAACTGCAAGTAAATCGGGACAAAATCGGGGTAGATGTTCCTGGCTGACGAGCGCAGCATAGAGAAACCCTTTCCACGCACAGGCAGAGCCCAGCCAGGGAACACGGCGCGGACGTCGGACGCAGCAAGCGGGGCTGCCTGTGGCTGAGGGGGGCTCAGGATGGCAGCCCTCGCATCCCTGCGTTTGCTGGCACTGCAGCACGACCGCGCCTCGGGGCGCAGCCCTGCGGCTCTCCCCGCCGTGGGAAGGCGTGGACGGGAGGGGAGAGCAAGGCCCTGGACAGACCGGGCTGCTGCGCCGCGGGGCCTGGGGCAGGTCGCTGAGAGCCACCGTCACGTGTGATTTCAGGACATAAGACTCAGATGGGAGCTGTCCACTCACTCCCCGGGGGAGCGGAAATGAGGGTGAACAGCACCATGTGATGGCAACTCACGCCAGCAGGGCACTGAGAAGAGGGGGGCCTCCACAGACAGAGAGCGGCCATCGCACCCCGCCTCCTGAGTCACTCTTCACAGGTCACACATATCTAGGCGTTGGGACAATCTCACTTCCTCCTGAGTCACTGTTTATGGGCTCTGATAGGCTATTACCCGCACACGAATGATCAGACAGGGAATAAGAACAACACCTCACGGCAAAGAAAAGCTGGGAACGCTCTGGGGCCTGCGTGCCCAAAAGTCAAGCAAAATAAAAAGAAAAACAAGAACAAGATGGGGCCAAACAGACCGGGTCACCAGGGTGGCCACATGGTGGTGGGAGAACAGACTGTAAGATGCTAAGGGGACTTAGCCTCCCTGTTACTATAAAGTCCACATTTTTAAAAATGAGAACAGATTCATAGATGATTCAGGTAATTAAAAAACAAAAACCTTCCCCAAAGGAGAATGTATTTTCACACAATGATGATCTGAAATCACATCTCCTAATTTGTACGTTACATACCAAACACGTCGTTGTCTTCCGAGGTCCCCTGGGAAAGGGTGAGAAGTTTTCTCTTTTTCTCAGATTCTCCTCTGTTGGTTTCACCTTCCTGGAAATGAAACAGAACAAAACCCTTTCTTAAGATACAGTGTTTTATCTACAAAATAACTGTAATGCATTTTCCTCTTTATTAATTTTGCAGCAGATAACCACAGTCTCATGGTGCTGGGCCTTGGCTCAGGGGGGTGGG